TGTATTCTTACACATTATCTTTCGTATATTCCATTATTGTTACTATTTTAAGTTATTTCATTAAATTAAGGAAATTAAAAGTTTTAGAAAATAATTAACGAAATTAATTTATGAGAGATCAAATTGATAGTTCAAGAGCGAATATTAAAGACCCAAGTTTTTAGTGTCGAGAACATATCACCATAACATGATTTTTTTCACCAACGACCTTTTAGTTTAATAATATTTTTTATCTTATAAAAGTTTTATTTTCTTGAGATAAGGGCTCAAATTTTCCTAAAAAAAATAAATTATAATAATAACATGATTTTTTTCAATAAAATCGATGTGTCAAAAAATGAAATGGTACTTGATTTACTGGATTATGAATTCAAGTCATTGTTTTCACATTGTTGATAATTGAATCAATCAGTCATTATAGAAGTGTTTGAAAGCCTAACGAGATGAGAAACAATCTTTGATTTCTCCATAAGCTGTTGTACATCCGAAATTCTAAAATCCCATGTTGAACCCTAATTACGATTTGACTTTCTCGGGTGGTTGATGACTTTCTAACTCCATCACACGCCATGCACGTGTTAGTTTCTATCAGTTTTTTAGATTGTAGTTAGAGGTTAGGGCGAAAGTCAAGTTAATATGAAGGAAAATTTGATGAAACTATTATTTCGGATGCGAAAGTGCAACAAATAACAAATATCAAGGACTAACGTTGTAATTTGCCCAATTATAAATTGCCCAAAACCAAACGTCAAAAAGGAAAAGCACCAGTTGTAATTTTGCTCACTACCTGTAAAGCGGTCCCTCTCTTCTCAAACCCTCTTTCTCTATCTATACATATTCATCTTCCTCTGGTCCGATATACAGAGCTCCTTGCCCGTGCTTTGCTGTGCTGCCTTTGGCAATGTGAGTCATTTTCTTCCAGAGTTGGTCCCTTTTGTGCGAGTTTAGGGTTTTTGTTGGTTTAATTGGAGGATTTTTGGTGGGAAAGCTTGGGGTTGTAACGATGTTCAAGAGTCTTGTTAAAAAAAAAAAATGATGTTCAAGAGCTATTCTTGTACTAAATCTGCAATTTGTTTCGATATATACATGCGTGTGCTTTTAATGTTGAAATAGTAATTGACTCTTTTTTTTCCCCTGAATTTTAGTGATGATGGAGGCAGCTATTGAAGGTTGGCGGACCAATCATGAGCCCACCCCCATTTCGAAAAGATTCCAGCCATGTAGCCCCAGTGGTAATATATCTACTGGCCTCTGTGCTTGTATGGGTGTATATACGAAAATATATATGAACTCATGAGTTCATGTCTGTTTGTATTTTTGTGTCGTCGGCATATTTCTATGAGTTTCTTAATTATTGAGACACCCTTTTTGTTGGTTAAGAGTATTTCATAATTGTGCTGCATATCTTTTGAATTTTTTTCCTATGTTAATTTTCTGTTGTTTGTATATTCTGCTAATGTGTATATGATTTACACAGACTTAGTTCATGCGATAGTTCTACTCTGGTTTGCTCATTTTGTACTTTCTGTGTTGTTTGTAACGAACTTTTGTTTATTGCCTTTCTTAGAGGCTCCATGTATTTTTGCAGGGCTATAAATTTTTCTCATTGGGATTGGTGTTTTGTGCTTAAATGTTTGAGTTTTGTTGCAATTTGGCCTAGGCAGTAATATAACTGGTTAGCTTCGCTGTTTCTTCGGGTGGAATATTCTTTGACTATGGCAAGGTGAAATTGTCTGAAATATTGCTTTGATGGATGAGAAAAACAACGATACTATCTATTTTTTTTCAATAATTTGAGATGTGATATTTTACTGACGTGGGACAATTTCTAACAACTTTTCTCACGTGTGACTCTTACTCGCGTGTGAAGAGGTAGACACAAAAACTAGAAAAATTATTTAGTGACATAACATGGTGTATTCGTCACATATCCACAGGAGAAACCAACTACCAAATCAATGACATTGAGATATAGTGTGTTTTTCCCAAAACCTAACTCTAATACGATGTTAGAGCTTCTAATTCATAACTGATTAGTAATGGGTAGAGAGACTCCTTAACCATATACACTGACCACAATTGGGCCTAATTTTTATATGTGAGATACAAGTTCTCTTCAAACTCTCCATCACAATTGACCACAGTTAAGATGCCACAAGGCTCATGCACTAGTTTGAGCTGAGATATTTTGCTTATGTGGGACAAGTAATAGTACTTATTCTCAAGTTCGACTCCCACTCACATTGAAGAGGTAGACACGAGAACTAGAAGAATTAATTACAGACATAACATGGTGTATTTGTGACATATCCACAGGGGAAATCAACTGCCAAATCAATGATATTGAAATAGTGAGTGTTGCCCAAACCCTATATCTAATGCAATGTTAGAGCATCTAATTTATAACCAGTTGGTAATGGGTGGAGAGACTCTTTAGCCATACACACGAAGAATGAGTGGGCCTAATTTTTCTATGTGGGCTACAAGCTCTCTTCACACACTCCCTTATGTGGGGTCAAGCTTGCACGTGGGCTAACCAATTGAAGCGAAATTGATAGACAAATAAATCGGAGAATTTAAATGATTGAGAGACTTGCCTATTGACCATTCAAGGTTTAGTTATGATGTTATTACTTATCCCTCAATGGTATAATAACATCTCCCTAACTAATATATGAGCCTTATGAACATCACCCACTCATAGTTGATTGTTTTGGAGTTTATTTATATGATGTGTTATCAAAGATGGGCCTCGATGGTAAGAAGGTCAAGACTCTCATCAATTTGAATTTCTCGCTTTGATTGTTTGTTTGTTTAGTTTGTTTTATTAGCTCACTTGTGAGACCGTACCCTTAGAAAGATTAGGACCACCCAAAGGTGATTTATATAGGTGAGGGTCTCTACATTAACCGCCCATTAAAAATGGGTTGGATCACTGTTATTTAAGGCGCAAAGCGAACCGAATCGACCAAGGCTCCTAACGCCTAGGCGAGAAGCGAAGCGACACGCTTTACCGAAGCGAAGCGAACAGTTAAAAAAATAAATTATTTTTTGGTTTAATTACTTCTAAACAATCTAAGTTCTAATTTTATATATACTAAATATTTAAATGCAAGTAAAACCATAACAAGGGCACATTCACATATACTAAATAACATTTCAAAACAATTATAAACAATTTTATATTTCACATGTAAACAATTTCTCATGTATCAAAGAGCAAAAAAAAAATTCACATGTATCGAATGCATTAAAGCTCATTGTTTTTATTTGTTTGTATAATTCTTTTAAACGTTTAATTCCATCAATATCAATAAGAAAAAAAAGGAATGTGTTTTGTTCGAAGCATTGTTTATCAGAAAAAAAAAAAAATAGACTAGTGATCATAAAAAAAAAGTCATGAGTGCTTAAAAAATAAAAGAGACTACTAATCGGAGATGAATCAGAAAAAAAAGAAGAAGAGAAAAGCAGAATCGGTGAGGAAAGAGTAGCAGAGAGAAGAAGAAAGAAGAAAAAAATAGAAATAGAATAGAGGAGAAGAAGAAGAGACTTGCCTGTTCGAATCAGGAAAAAAAAAAAGAAGAGAAAAGCAGAATCGGTGAGGAAGTAGCAGCAGAGAGAAGAAGAAAACAGAAATAGAAGAGAGGAGAAGAAGAAGAGACTTACCTGTTCCCTGTGTCAGTGAGGAAGCAGCAGCAGTACAGTGTAGTGATCGTGTTCCCTATGTCCAGAGATGGTCCAGCAGCTTTGGCGATGGTCTAGTCTAGCTCTCTCGCACTCCAGCTCCAGCGATGGTCCAGTCCAGCTCTAGCGATCGTGTAGCAGAGCTCCAACGAAGACAATCTGAAAAAAAATTAGGTTTGGGTTGTATTTATGGGGTAAAGGAATAATTCGGTGTATTCATGTCTTAAATTTTTTTTTCCAATTGTCTAATCAACGACCCATAATCAAAATTAAAATAAAAATGCCTGGGAAGGTTAAGACGCTCGCCTTGTCGCTAGTCGCTTTGTTCGCTTTTTGCTTGCTTCGGCCACGTTCGCTTCGCCTGGAATCCTCCAAGTGAGAAACCTTCGCCTTGCCTCGCTTCTTGCCTAGGCGAGCGCCTAGGCACGCTTTTCAAAACACTGGGTTGGATGCTTCTAATAGAAAAGTGGATGGTGACTATGCATGAAGGCTGTAGAAATTCGGAATGTTTCCAAGAATTGAAGATTATTGCGATTTGCGAGTGCGAAAGTTGGATTCTTCAGCAGAAATGTGGAAGTATTTCAAACTTTGAGTTAAGATTTAAGGCTAAATGGATTTCTAATTGTCCTTAAAGACAAATTTTAATATTTTTGTAAGTTGGCTGCTAAAACACTTATGTGAGGTTACTGCATGGTCAGGAATCCAAGTTTATTCATCTATTGATGGCGAAGATTGACCCCTCCCCCAACCAATTTATGGTCAAGTAGCTTATAATATCTCTCTCTCGAGATATTGTGAGCAAAGCATCTGTTATTCAGATCCAAGAATAGGGGGGATCTCTGATTGTGTTTAAAGGGCTCGCGAGCAGCTTTCTCTCCGGAAACCAATTCTTACAATGATATTACTATGCCATTCTCTTTAACTTGGTTTATTAAATTCATGGTGTGTAATGTTCAGGCACAACTACTGAATTTTTTGGTGGAGGGGCCATTAGTCTCGACAAAAATTTCTATTAGGCCCATCTTCTTGCGACGAGACGTAGAGGTCATGGAATTTGACAGACTGCTGCATTTGTTTATTCACCGAGTTTTAAGCACATCTGATAAGAAGTAAGAACACAATGTAACACGTGTCTAGTACAAATTCTGGATTTTTGAAATCATTCGTGACTTCGGAGGCATAATGCGCCAAGTATAGAAATGGTTAATACGCAGAAAACTTGGTGGAGATGATATTATACAATGAACTCCATCAAAACCAAAGATGAATAGTACTTAAAAAACTCGGGTTCCATTTGGAACAACACCCATATGAACATGCCAGGTTGATGTGGCTAATGACCATTAAGTGGGAAAAAACTTATGCACATAAATAAAACAAGTAAAAGAAAGTCTTACTCTCAATCGACCGATAGAATTCCAAGATAAATCTAGAACATTGAGAACACTGCAGAAAGTAGCAAGGGTAGAAGTAGAAAGATCTAAATTCTCCTATATATACTCCGAAGACAAGTCATGGAACCATGCAGCAGAACAAGAGATCTAGCCAAAGCAGAGGAGTAGTTTTTCATTGATGCAGTCTGCCTTTTTTTTTTTAGCTTTAAAATTTTAATCTGTAACATTATTTTTTTGGGCTTGAAATGGAGGTCAGCGAAGCAATGGCAGCAGTGGCACTTGAGGCTCGCTAGAATTTTGCATGCAATGTGGTTATTGATTACATTAGATTCAATGGGGCATGTTAGCAAAGGAACAAATGTTGTTTGAGAATGATGGTGCTAGTTCATGATCTTGCCTCCACATGATGGAACAATGTGATTTGGATGGGATTCCCAAATCATAAAAATATTTTGTTTTGGTGAAGGATGGAGTTTTTTTTGTCCTTTATGAGAATGTTCATCTAAATGGAAACCCTGGATTGACGAATTAGACGGTGTACTATATCTGACATGTTTTTTTTTTTTTTAGAAGAAAATTATGGCTTCCTTGTTTGTGTATCAACCAGCACCAAGTTTCGGTCTTTCAGTGGAGTTGTTGCCTAATGTTTTTTGATGCAGTTCTATTTATATGTCAGCCACTGATACTTCCATTTCTATTTTTATGTGGTCTGGTAGGATTACATTTTTCTGCCCATTGGATTTAGAACAGCTGCTCCATGCATGGCAAAACATGTTCTCAACCTTTGAACAGAGTTAATATCTATTCATCTGTGTATATGTTTATGTATCTTGTGGTTGTTACAGCTGTCCTTGTTGCAAAGTAAGTCGGTGTTTTTGCTAAATTCACTGATGTTATACATGCTAATGATATCTTACCATGTAAACTATAAAACTAATTTTACTTTGATGTGTATTGAATGGCATGGAGAAGTTAAATGATGTGATGGAGCATTTCTGTCTAAGTATCTACATTTCAAGTGCTGAAAACACGATCATTTCCCATGTATACATGCCTTGGATGATAGTAGTAGGCTGGGCTTTCACATGTTGCTTCTGTTATTGAACTTTGTGCAATCTTTGGTTGTGGTTGACTAACACTGGAAATATGCAAACATTCATCCTGTCTTAATAATTTACTTGCTAAAAGGAAAAGCACCTTGTGGTGGTCTATAATCACTATCATCCCGACCCTTTCGGAGTTTCGATGAACTTGAACCAAGTTTGGATTACTTCTAAAATAACTGTTCGCATGCTGTTAATTTCTTTTCTCTTTTTACTTCTTTAAATAACATATTTATTATGTGATTATTCATTTGTGGTGTATTTATCTTCATATGTTTGAAACAGATTTGTATTCCCAAAGGCGGAAAAGGACAAAAATCAGTGAAGAAAAAGAATATAGCGACACAAACTTTTTTGCATGTGTCGGCAATGAATTTGAAAAGAAAATTGCTGACCATTCTGACCCATTTGGAATACCTGATTTGTTGGAAGAGCTGGATTGTGGGAAATATGGAAGTGTCACGAAAGAAATACAAGAGCTTCTTGCTCGGAGGACACAAATGCTAAAGCCTTATTATATTATGCATCCAACCCTTCTGTATAGGCATCTGGTTGTGGGAAAAAACTCTAATGAAGAGGTTTCAAAGGCAAATGGATTGTCGATTCCTTCGACTCATAATATCATTGATTTAGAGGATGAACATGCTACAAATGTTGTTCCTCAAGGAGCAGAGCCTGCCAGAGTAGTCGGGCCTGTTGTCATCCTTGATTCAGATGATGAAGACCCTGGAAATGGGAGGCCTTTTCACCCATACCAGGAGGTTGTCTTGAACAATCCAGCTGGCAAGTTTCTAATAAAGGATCTAGTGGTAAGTTTGTCCTGCATTTGCTGTTCTGGAGCTCACATCGTATAATGCAGCTAATAAAAGTGTAAGCAGTGCTAAATTCTTGATATAATGATATAATGAGTCAAATGAAGAAAGCTTTGTGTTTGATTCCGCCAGAAATTGTGTTACTGTTGACCTACAAAGGCATCTACACAAGTGCTTGTGACATAGTTTTGACTGATTGTAATTGTTAAGCATTGGGATAATTTCAAGCTTAATCGAAGCCAAAGTACTGAAAATTTAGAAGGAATGTGTCAGCATCCATATTGGACTCCTTGGAGAGAGATTTCTCCAAATTGAACTTTGTAGATTCATCATGGTCTCCTGGTACTGAACTTTTACGCAGAAGCAGGCTATTATCTGACGAAATACGTAACAAAATATTTCACCTTAGTAGAAGGAATTTTGCGACTAAGACATAGGTATGGAAATCATACTCGTACTTTTGGAAAATAAAATGGAACTAAGAAATTTTTAACAGTAAGTCATTTGTATATAACATCATATAGAGAGCCATTCTCAAATTTCCAAGAGCAGTTGTCAAATTGCTTCTTTATGAAATGGCTACTTGATGAATTCATCACTTGTTGGCTTCAATAACATTGACCTCTAGAGGCTTGCCAAAAGAAAGATTCTGTGTATCCACTAATGCTTTTATGTTATTCTCCGACCCAACAAATAAGCCCTGTTTTTGAATTTTTTCTTTTGTCTATTTTATGTTCCTTGGCTAGTACAATAAGTAGGGAAGCACCCTTGCATTCCAACTCCCAATTGGGATTTTAACTTTGGACCTCTACTTTTTAGAGTGGAAGAACGCCTCGAAGGAGATACTGATCTGGCTTAGAGCTGGTCTCCACATTCTTTGAGACCAAAAGAGATGTACTTGATTTCTGACCTTTTCTCTGGTGCTTTAGACACTACGCATACTGTTTTTGGCATTTATTCAGATCTAGATGCTCGCACAAAAAGATTTAGTAGACATAACTCCATCTTGTTTCCCCCCTCCCCCATATGCAGCCCCACTTGCGAACGCGCTTGGGTACAAGCATGATATTCGAGACGTTTTACATATATATTTCACCTAGGGCTCTGGATTCTGAATCAGGATCTGCATGTAAGAGAGTGGAAGAATACCAATGACCATGAACATGTAATTGGTCTGCTCCTGTAAACAAGGAATGAGCATAGATATGAGGCTTCTCTGATGGCTCTGGTTTGATATGGTCTTGATGTAATTGTTGTAGAAACTAATTGTCAGGGTTTACCTGATTGCATTGAATATTTTTTATTTCTATACTTTTGAAGTTACTATTTACTGGATCTTGGTGTGCATACATTTCCCTGTTGCAACTTGCAACAAGTGGTGAAATAGATATTTGCCAAGCTGGTGGTACTATAGTTTGGTGTCCTACAACTTATTCTTATTACTGGAGAAAATTGTGTGAATTGATGTTAATAACTTAGTTTTAGCTTTTCTGTTGGCCATGACATATGAAGTGACATGGTTGGATATATCTGCATTTTAAAGGCTAGTTGTATGAGTGCCCAAAGAATCTAATTTAAACTGTAGCTGTGATTTCCATTGTGTTGCTGATCAGAAGAAAAGAGAATTTGCATTGCCTTTCTCTACTTGACTAGAAGGCAGAATGCAGAGAAGGGGCGTTGCAGTCAAATTCTGTGGATGAGAACAATGAAGAGACATTGTGTGCAGTTGTGGAGTAGGATTAATGGTCAATATTGGGTGACTGTTTCAAAAAAATAGTTTATTATTTGGCGGCAATTTGCACTCAACAAGTGCAAACTTCTGAGGAGAAACAACGGGGCATCACTTAAAATATGTTTAGTATGTTACATGCTCTTGATTTTCGGTTTACTTAAATTTTCTGATAGTGGCACTTGTTGCATGACTTAGTCAATATGCAGTATGGCAGGACCTGTAATGCCTCATTGCAGCATATAATTGCAGATCAAGTTAACTGTTTCTTTTTGTTTAACTTAATTCATAACATAAAGCATTCAAATCGTATCTGTGGCAAAAATTCTTCTGGTGACAAGTAAATTTCGAGCTTTTTCAGTTATATTTCCAATTCTCCAGACTTCTCTAATTCGCAACTTGGATGTTATATATTCTGCTGTTTGATTTTTTTATTGCTTTATTTTTCTGTATGTTTTGTCCTATAAATTTCATCATCTGTATGCAATTCACTTTATGATGATTTTGATTGTGTACTCTTGATTGTGAGAAGGTGAAGTTGAGATTCTATTTTTCCTTTTTACTGAGAAGTTGCCAAATATCCTTGTTTGTTATTTGCACATGAGTTTATTCTTCTAATATCTGTTCACTCTGATCCGCTAATTGATCGATCTTATTGTCATATATAGGGTAGGGATTGCGTTCAAATCCTTAATTCGAGAGAAAAGGATGCAGGTCTTGCTGATGAAACTGAAATCAGCGAAGATAAAGGGGTCTATGTTGGTGTAGAGGATGAGATGGGATTGGAGGATGGCAATGCGCAATCTGATGCCAATTTTGATGGTCTGGCTGATATTTGGCAGGAGATGTCTATTGCACTTGAATGTTCTAAGGTACTTTTGTTTTGTTTTTCTTACAAGTAGAAGAAAATGTTCTAGCTTATCGTATAGGATTCTACACCAAAACCCTATCACTGACTATCCATTGCAGTGCTGAATTCGATACACACTATCACAATCTAATACAAATAAGGGACAACCACAAAAGGCCTTTCATCTTCACAAGTTAAAGGAAACATAAAAACAGAAAACTTCAGCTGCTACAAATATGGTGTTTTAGGTTATCACTATACTAATTTTGCATGCAACACAATGTAAAGCATCTTTCTTGGTCAAGTTGGTCAGAAAGTGCACTTCCAAGGAAAGCTGTGCAATTTAATGAGGCTTTAATTTAAATTTATTGACAGTGATTGATTTGTTTAAGGTGTGGTTTCCTGATGGCTTAGTGCGTAAAAAATGCTTGGGAAGGGTAATGAATAAGGAACTAGGGACAAGATCATCCACTTTTTTGGAGGTCGGATGGTAGGTAATTGGCTGTAATGGGTTCTATGTGGATGGATTTAAGAGGTAATTAGTCTCAACATGAGAAACAAATTTTACGAAGTTAAACCATAAATAGAAGAAATGGAACAATAGTTTACTCTCTGATAATTGATTATTTTGGGAGATCCAAAATTATTAAGTGATGGAACTGTTAATTTTCAAGTTTTCCAAATGACTTTTTATCCGGCAAATTACTATTGGTCACATGCTTCTTGCTACAAATATGAACCAATACTCACTCTTTCTGGCGATTGTTTATTTCTGTTTGGGTTAACATCGTATTCTATCTATGTCACATGTTAACACACTATATCTTTTCCTCGTTGATAATAGTAATGTTCTAATGATATTTATGCAAAATATATCTATAGGCACATTTTCCTTGATTAGTGAATGATGGCCATTCGAGAGTCAACTATATGCTAAGCGACTGGATAAGGAGAAGAGGAATCATTTCTTATCATGGACTAGAATCAATATCTTATCTGCAGAGAAAATTGTTTGTTCCTTTTAGGATGAATAAGAGAAAAGGAGTTGTTGGCATTCAGTCGCAGAAGGTTCAGGGTGGTATTGGGCTAGGTTGAGCACGTGTAATAAGACTGAGTGAAACTCGAAGAACTTGTTTATTAGATGGGTTGCAATGTGTAAACTTAACCGATTTACTGTAATTTACGTTCATTCAAATCCAACCTAACCTACTTATTAAGATTATTCTTGTTTTTGCCAACATTTCCCTGAAGCAAGTTTTAATAAATTTTAACAGTGTTGTTGAAAAATGCAAGTTTAATGATCCTTTTGGTTGGTGAGAGTCTAACATGTATGATCCATTTGGATTTCTTTTTTTTTTTTTTCCGGGGGGGGGGGACTGCCTTGTTTATATGGATGGCTCGAAAAGGTCGACCCATACATTTATTTAGGTTTGGGTGAGTCATAGGGAGAAATTTGCTACCTGTCTTACTTAACTAAGATTAGTGTTGTGCTGTGCTGCTTTCAAATAAAATGCCATGGATGTTAAAAGGATTGTTATGTCTCCAACAGTGTGGTAATAGGGCAGAGACAAAAACAATAAAATCAATGCCTCTTTGAATATGTGTAAGAATATTGTGGTCTTCCTGTTTATTTTATGATCTTATATGATGTATCCCACGTAGTTAGCGGACCTGATTAACATTCAGATCAGCTTGAAAAATTCTGTTTAGAAGCAGTTTATGCATTTTATAGAGAGAAAGGCTTGATAACCAGAGCTGGAGGAGCCAACTCAAGCGTTAAGAAGAACCGGGAAAAAAACAAAGGAACAACCCAAATCTGAATTTCACTCTTCCAAAATCTCCTTTAAAAGAGAAATTGAAGCTCTATATTCAGGATCTCTGGTGATAACAAAGGGAAGTGCTTTAAGACCAAGTAAACAAATAGTAGTTAGCAATCTAACGAGAGGTAGAGGACAAGTAGCAACCTAAATGACAAGGAAGCTACAAGTAGGCTACAAATTAATTATACAATGGTACTAGGTCAACAAAACTCAGAATATATTCTAGTTTGTAAATTATATTCTAATCTAAATCTGACAATAGTACTTAATTGATACTTTTCATAGGAATATAATTGATATAACTAAAAGAAACCCAGCGTCTCAATCTTCTCATGCTGACAAAAGGAGGGGTTTTGGTTGGTTTTACCTACTATTGCATTTGAACCAATGACAAGTCAAGTATGTCAAGCTGAGTCAAGTCAGAGAAAATAGAACCCTATAAGAGAAAGGTGCGCAACCAAAGTTCCCCTTACTATAGGCGGAGCTCTAAGAAGTATTTTTTGGTCTTGAAAAAAAAATGATGCAGTGTTATCACTATATGAAATGAAGCAGTGGCTAGCACGCTCTTGAAAATAAGTTTTTTTTGGTCTTCTCATGTTTAGATGATCTGGAGTGGACCTAGGATAATATATTTAGGGGACCAATCAGGCGATAATATAATTTTGTTGGGGGATATGTAGTTGCAAATATCCAAAAGAGCAGGGCATGCCATAGAGATGATTCCCACTAGGAATTGAGGAAAGGGATTACCAGGAGGGGTGATAGAATATTTTTGGCTGCAGTTTTCGCATGGTTGGGTAAGGATGGACACCATATCAAGGACTATTTGCTGAATAACAATGCATTTGCATCTAGAGGGCCAAACATTGGGATGAAAGTGTTAAATATTGATTATAATGTTACCACCAAGGCCACCACATGCCATATTTTCACAGAAACAAGTCTTTTTACTTTCTTCTTTGAAAACTTTGTAAGGTTTTTTCCTCTTACTGTCATAATCTTTCGGAGTTTCTTACCTGGTGGTGGCCAAGTGTGCTTGGATTCCAGTTTTCTGTTCCCAAGGATTTTTGTACCTTAACTGCACATCACCTAAACTTATTTATGATTTACACATCTATAGTATACTGCAATTTCCAACAGGTGCTGCTCATCCTTTGCACTAGCACGAGAAATAAAAAACCACAACCAGTTAGGCATTAATCTTACTTCCACTGTTTAAGGTGACAGCTTCTGATTTGGTACATGGTTTATGAATAGTACTAAGGAGTTTTTGAAGTCTTATTTCGAATATCATATTCATATTGTCTTTTATTTGCATTTTCATTTATGAACATCCAAGTATTCAATCTGAAAGTACCTGCAACATTGACTTAAACTCTGTTATTTGTTTTAGGATACTGCTATAGATCCTTCAACCGATGAATATGCAAGAGAGAGTGGAGAAGAGTGTGATCATTCTTTTATCTTCAAAGATGATATTGGTTATGTTTGTCGCATTTGTGGAGTCATTCAAAAAGGAATTGAAAGCATCATTGAGTTCCAGTACTCAAAGGTATGTATATTCATTATTTAACATATATATTATAATAGAGCTTGAGAAAGGTTGTGCATACCTCATGATTTACATTAGTAAGATAGTAACAATGATAGCTGTCAACTGCACTATTTCGGTGATTCATTCCACATCGTTTTGTTCAACTCAGAATAAGAGAGCAAAGGGCCTTAAGGTTTGGTACAACCAGACTTCTTGGTTTCTTCAAATGATTGTCTACTGAGTCTGGCCATAATGAGGTAGTACTGAATCTACTGATGGCATTCAATAATTGGGTTGTTGATGCTAAAGCATCCCAAAACCAACTGGTAACAAGTGGGAAAACCCACAAGGCTCGTACACTAGTTTGAGAGATGTTATTACATTGATGTGGGACAATCTCTAATAACATTCCTGACATGTATGACCGCAACTTGTATGTGGACAGAAAAACAAGATATTAGAAGAAAAATTCAGACATATAAAAACTGCACCAATGTCATGAACGAAGGGTTAATTGATTAACCAATTGTTTAAACTGAGATTTGCCCACAGCTTCCTAAAGTCTAACTCTTATACCACATTAAAGTATAAAAAACAAATTCAATTGGTAATGAGTAGAGAGGCTCACAAGGCTCATATACTAGTTTGGCAGGTGCTATTTTATAGTCGTGAGATAAGCTCTCACAATGGAGATCATGGTAATTTAGGTTTGCTTTGGGTGGACTTCATAATATAAGAATATTATTCACATGTTGAGCAGCTTGAAGTGACTTCATCACACATTAGGACTCTATTGTTGAACCTGACTATTAAGTCTTGGGTTAGTTGTGTCGGATCAGTAGATTTGGTTAAAAGTTACCATGCTCCCTTTTGAGGAAGTGTCAGTGTTTTAAAATCTGGTCCGGCCCAGTGGGTTGACCCAGAAACCTGGTGAACCAGACTCTAAATCGGGGTGGTTTATCAACTCGACTGTTCAAGCATAAAAACCGGCAAAAATCCATTGAACCGGATGGTTACCGTTAGAACCGAACGATTATTATTAAGCTGGCCGGTTCACTTAAAGTTCTATATAATCAGATTTTTTTGTTCATTTGGGCATTTTTGCCCTAATTCGCTGATCAAATCCCTCTTGGCTCTTGCTCTTCTCTCTAGCAGACGGCCTCTCGATCGTATCTCTTGGAGATCAAATCTCTAAGCCTCTAGATTGTCTCATTGCCTTATCTGATCTCTCGAAGTCTCTCTTTTCTTTGCATTCTCAAGTCTCAAATCTCAACTGCTTCTCTCTCTCGAGAACCACGCTCACCCACTCACCAATCTCCATGCCGAAATGCATTTGGTAGTGGGAGATCACTTCTGCGATTTCAACACCACTATCTGAAATTAGTCTGGTTTTTTTTGCTGACTTGTCATTGTTTTTGGTTTTTATTATGCAACCGAAGGACTATCTTTGGTTCTTAGTGTAGGTTAAAGATATTAGTTGCTAATACAATAGATACACTTTTCTACATATGTGAACAGCATGTTGGTGTTTTGTACTACATACGTAGTTTCAATTGTTAATTTTTTGGTTTTTGTTTGATCTAATATACATTAAATATGCTATTGTTATAATTATTATATTCTTTTAGTATATTTGTTATCATAATTAATTATTTTTTATTTTTTTTTATTATATGACCAGTTTGAGCAGTCACTTGGTGGTTGAACCAGTGACCTGTTGACCTAGTCCTTTTGCCGGGTTAATGTCCAAGCCGGGTTTTAAAACTATGGTCTGCAGTGCCATGTTTCAATTTTTGGTCACTTCTAGGGGGTATTTGGCAACTAGAAAATTGGTCTAGTCCAGGTCTCATCTTATTCGGTTGTTTGGTTCGACGAATAACTAATATTTTGTTGTTATGGAATAGACCTTTAAATGCACACTTGAACTTTCTTTATAGATCCTGTGGTTTGTATGTGGAAAAAAATAGACAGAGGTCCAAGGACACTAGTTCACTGGAATAGTGGAATGTCCAATCTTTTATGGTATTTCCCCTCTTTCTTTCTATCTGTCAATACCTTTATAATGTCAATGACAGAGGTGGGGGATTGACACTACCCCTGCCTTTCTTCCTCCTAGGGTGCTTTTTATTTAAGAATCGAAACTAGAACCATTGGACCTCAATGGTACCTCTTATTTGTTCTGCAAAACTTTTTTTTTCTTACTAAGATTAGATTAGTGCTTGAAAATTCTCAAGTACAAGCCATGTAATAGTTTCTTGAGTTCATTGATTTCGGTTGCAACACTGATTGGTTTCGGTATGATTGGGCAAATAATTTAGGTATGCAACTTTCCTTTCTTAATAACTAATAAGCTTAGGCATTATTTTGCTCTCTCACCTTATTTTTTTTCCAAACTCACTGGAAGGTAGTTTCTAGTTTCAACCTCAACTAAAACAGAAGACATCATCATGCATTCTGTGTTAGAAAATATAAAATGAAAATCTCTCTCATTTGGAACAATCATATCTTATTCTAGGTGTGTCCAACTTAAAATCCTTAAGTGTACCAACACTGAGATTTTATTTTTCTCTTCTTTGATTTAAACTCGCCTTCTGAGTTTGTGGACCTGGGCCATATTCTACGACCTAAAACAATTTGTCGGTTAAGGCAAAGTTTTAGGTAGAGTGATGAGAATCGTTTGCAAAACCAAAATTAGGCAGCTCCTGTAATATCTTTCTCAATTTCATTATTGGTTGGCTAGGTGATATCTATGTTTCTACTTTGTTTTTACCTGATTTTTACTTCTAAGAGCCACTGCACGTTGCTTGAATTTTCTTGAGTCAACCTGCTGGACGTCTGGACAGAGGCTAGGGGTATCTGCCACCCTGCAGCATAAGCAGATTGCATTTCTTATCTATTGTTTTCAATGCTATCAAAAGAATGGCTGCACAGTACATATTCGTGTCTCATTTGTTATTGGCTCCTAATTAGATAGACGTAGTGCTATAGTGGCATCATGGAGTGCTCCAGGGTGGACAGATCCATAGTTCAACAAGAATATAGCGTTCGTCGTTTTTATGTGTGCACTATGCATGTCGAGGAGGAACAAGAGTGCCTTGAACAATGATGTGAACTGATGATTTACCATCGATCTGCTGAGGTCTTTGGATTTCCAAATAACAGTTTCTTGTTCAAAGTAAACAATTCTACTCTACTATGAATGCAGTGTACATGGGCTTTTGTTATGGAGTGGTACCTGCTTCACAAATACATGCCCGGGCTCAGAATTAGTGCTTTACCATTATATAGTGTCATATGTCGGGCATGCTCAGGAAAACATTCTATTGCTAGTTTAGGAGTTATTCTGCTTTCCGCTAGGTGTAACCAGTGTGCATTTTGGGGCATATTAATTGGTTTGAGCAAATTTGTTTGGTAAAAATACTCCACAAGTCCTGCTTTTTGGGCAAAAAAACCATTCAGTCTTATTAAATTTCTATCAAGACAATTGAGTCCTACTTTTTAAACAAAAGTTCAAATAAGTCCTAAATTTATCGAATCTCTTTTTGCCCTTTAGGTTTTTATTGCAAACAGATTTGGAAATCATGTTTATTTGTTGACAGAACTAGCTGGAACAATAAACCAAATAAGTTGAGTTGTGATCCACTCAATTATTTTAATGCTTGCAAAACAATTTAATTTGAAAAAAAAAATTGTTACAAGAATTTAATCAAAAATACTAGATTTTACATGATTTGTTACATCTTATATCCATATGAAATCACAGTATCTGGTAGGAGCAAGTAGGTTACAAAAATTTGAGGTAAAGGTGTACTTGATTTCCATAAGAAAGGGTTAATAGAACATAAACTCTATTATTCTGAGTTTTGAACTAGTTTGTGACAAATTATTGAAAGTGGGATTTACTTGTTCCAATGCAAATTTGATGACTGAATGGTTTTTTTGTGGTGGGAAAAGTAGGACTTATTTTGAATCTGTCCAAATTTGTTGTGATTGGAAATGATTTGGATTGTATTACTGCTTATTTACATTCGCAAATAAGTTGAAAAGCAAAAACCAATCCTTGAAGCTTCATTAATCCAGCGTTGGATAAATTCTTGGTAAATGTTATTATGCTAGGGATCTACTAAACAAAGGTAGCTTCAAATATATTAGCCCTTGTACAGTGTGTAGTATAGATACAGATATGGATACTCTGTGCAAAGTAGCTGCTTGAACAGAAGTTCTGGAATAATTAGATGCCTTTTCTATACCTTTGTTGAAAGTTACCTTACTTATATGGTCTAATTTCCTTTTTGTTTAGGGAACAAGGTCTACCAGAACTTATAGATATGAAGCTCGGACTTCCAGAGACTCAGATCCAGCAGAAATCCTTCCTGATCGGGCCAAATTGCCCGAGCATGATTTCATTGTTGCTGAAATCTCTGCTCATCCAAGGCACAGGAAGCAAATGAAACCCCATCAAGTTGAGGGCTTCAACTTTTTGCTCAGTAACCTGGTGACCGATAATCCAGGGGGTTGCATCATGGCCCATGCTCCAGGATCAGGAAAGACTTTCATGATCATCAGTTTTATGCAGAGTTTTATGGCCAAGTATCCCTTTGCTAGACCGCTGGTGGTGTTACCAAGAGGCATCTTGCCTACATGGAAAAAGGAATTTCAGAGGTGGCAAGTGGAGGACATTTCACTATATGATTTCTACTCTGTCAAAGCAGATAGTCGATCTCAGCAACTGGAAGTGCTGAAACAATGGGCTGGGGAAAGGAGCATCCTGTTTTTAGGGTACAAGCAATTTTCTTCCATTGTTTGTGATGATGATACCAGCAAGGCAGCAACTGGTTGCCAAGAGATATTGCTGACATATCCGTCTATTCTTATCCTGGATGAAGGTCATACCCCCCGAAACCAGGATACTGACGTGTTGACCTCCCTTGAGAAGGTCCAGACTCCACGAAAAGTTGTACTTTCGGGGACACTGTACCAGAATCATGTCAAGGAAGTCTTCAATATCTTGAATCTTGTTCGTCCGAAGTTTCTGAAATTGGATACATCAAAATCCATCAAAAAGCGAATATTGAGCAGAGTACAGATATCAAGGGGAAGAAACCTGTACAAGGTTTCAGATAAAGATTTCTATGATTTGGTGGAGCACTCTCTCTTGAAAGATGAAGATTTCAAGAGGAAGGTGAATGTCATCCAAGATCTCAGGGAGATGACAAGCAAGGTTCTTCACTATTATAAGGGAGACTTCCTAGATGAGTTACCAGGACTTGTGGATTTTACTGTGTTCCTTAGTCTCAGCCAAAGACAAAAACGTGAAGTTGCAGAGCTTAAGAAGTTGGGCAGAAAATTCAAAATAAGTTCTGATGGGAGTGCTATTTATGTGCATCCACAGTTGAAATCCCTGGCAAAGAATTCTACAGCAAAAGACCGAGTTGATGAGGAAAAAATTGATGAAATTTTAGAGAAACTGGATGTGAATGAAGGAGTAAAGGCGAAGTTTTTCCTTAATCTGTTGCGTTTGTGTGAATCAGGAGCTGAAAAGTTGTTGGTCTTTGGCCAGTATCTCCTGCCCTTGAAGTTCCTGGAAAGATTGGCTGTGAAGGTCAAAGGTTGGAGTATTGGGAAAGAAATATTTGTGATCACAGGTGATTCAGATAATGATGCTCGAGAGTCTTCTATGGAAAGGTTCAACAATTCGCCCGATGCACGGGTCTTTTTTGGCTCAATCAGAGCCTGTGGAGAAGGTATCTCTCTTGTGGGAGCATCCAGAATCATCATTTTGGATATACATCTGAATCCTTCCATTACGCGCCAAGCAATAGGGCGTGCATTCCGACCAGGTCAGGAGAGGAAAGTATACACATATAGATTAGTTGCCGCCAGTTCACCTGAAGAGGAGGATCACTCCACTTGCTTCAAAAAGGAGTCGATAGCTAAGATGTGGTTTGAGTGGAACGAATACTGTGGTCACCAAGACTTTGACATTGAGAGTGTAGATGTGAAGGACTGTGGTGACATTTTTTTGGAAACACCATGGTTAAATGAAGATGTCGTTGCCCTTCGCAAAAGGTTAGTGAGACTTCATTTTTTCCTGATTTAAACCTAGACAGTTTATATGGTTAAATCTTAAGTTCTATGTTGCTATTTACAGGTAAATGGTGACAGAGGTTGAGGCTTGGGCTGGAAGTTTATTGGATATTTCTCTCTCGAGCATGAGTTTGTTCATAGCTAGGGACACTACCAAAAGGGCAGTTCTTGGCAGATTGCTGTTCAACTATATCTAGTTTTAGGTATGTTGGGAATGCTTTTTTGTGACCTGGATCTAGAATGGAGATACAAATTGGATGTCCATTAGATACTAGCAGAGCTTGTTAGCATGACTGACAGTTTTATTATCTGTGCCTGTTACTCTATCAACCGAGTTTGAGATACTTATCTTTGTATAGGGCTATCTGCTTTCCTTGAAGCTGTAAATATATATACAAAATTGTTGATCTGCATTCTTGGTTGATGCATTGTTTATATGCATTTTGATATGCTTACAATTGAACTGATGGATGATTGCTGCTGTAACGTAGCATGCAGAACCAATGCGTCAACGTCACATTCGTTGTCCAGAAGTATAGGTTATTGCTTAAATACTAAGCTTACGTGTGTTGATTGTTTACCATTCATTCTAGCAACTGCTGAATATACCAGGTTGTTAGTTCCTCAGCTTTTATGTCTCAGGTTTGTACCAATCTGAATCTGTGGACCACCAAAGAGGTGGGGCAGCATCAACTCAAAAACTGTGATTGAACTGGAATACAATTCTTCGATTGTTAATGGATCGTGTTCCGACTAGTGAAATTCATTGCCAGGTTATTTGCTAAAATCAAATGATCAAGTGATTGTTACAGAGGGAGGCATACCTGCTGTTTATTCTTTTTGTTATGGCTATGACTCTACCTTTTGTACCTTACTTGGTGTTAATACTCTCTCTTCTTTCATCTTCGAAGCCTGTTTTAATAGTTTTCAAGTAGATTTACTTGTAGTGGGATTAAGGATCAAAATTTTGTTTTAGTGTATAGTTCCAGTGAGTCTGGAAACGGAAACTCTTCGGAAACAAAGATGGAATTTTTTTTTTTTTTAAATTTATTTCTGAAACGAAACACACAGAAACATTCCGAAATATAGGATGACAAATGCTGAAACACCAAAAAACTTACTGAAATACCTTGAAACATAGGAATTTTGATATTTACTCAATGATTCGTTTCGGTTTTTATTTTTATGAAAATTTTTCGAATGTTTAGAAAAGAAATTTAATTCCTTGAGTGGGATAATGCTTGTTTGACTTTTGTAGCTTTCACATAACCAAAGTGAACAATGGAACAAGATCCGAATAAGGTGGAAAGAACTCGATTCAAATTTTCTCCAATCCTAGTTCCTTTTGAGTTCTTCAATATTAGTTCATTTTATTGTGAATTCATGTGAGATTCATAGTATCCAAGTAGGTTTCCTTCAGAATGATTTGAGGTGATCGAAAAACGAAGGAATTAATACCGGAAGGACCTCAAAATCCTCTCAGGATTGCTTCATTCCTACAACTTTTTCCTAATCGACCCTCACCACCAATGAAACCGTAGAAAGTTTAGCACCAACAGCAATTGCTAATGAATTTCTCTTTGGACAACAGTGAGCTCCCTAAGCTCTGTTTATTCATTGATGGCTCCCTAGCTCATCTATCACTAGGGCTGAATCGAGCCAAGTTTTGCGAGCTCGAGTCAAGTTTGTTGAACTTGTTTTTTTAAGCGAATTTAAAAAATTATTCATTTTTCTATATGAATTCGAACTGAGTTCGAGCAACTTGACTATTTTACATATAAATGAGTTTCAAAATTTGTTCCAACTTGCTTGTTTAGAAAATGATCTGAGCCCGAACTGAACTTAAAACGAGTTGAACCCGAATTACTTGGTTCAATTATTAGCCCTATCTATCAAGACTATAACATCAAATAAAACTTAGTTGAGGATGGTTATTGATTTTCAAAGAACTTGACATTATTGGCTGCGTAAAAGAAACAATACAAATACCCATTTCTTTACGAAAATACAAGATCCCCCGAGTATATTAGCCGAACTTGAGTTGCAACTCCACTTGCTTAATCCTTTGAACTATAAGATTTAACAAATACATATAATTCAAAGGACTTAGCTGTTGGATCAAAGTGTTTACTATTGCACCAAAACCCGCAGATCTTAATGAAGCATAACTTTTTTCTTTTTAACTAGCTCATAAACAAACACTCACTAGTTAAGTTAGTTAAACCCCTCCATCGAGTCTCAAGAAGACTTGCTCTACCTCTACTCAGGCCAACATTAGCCTCAATGGATCCGTCTTTTGAATGTGGGGTAAAAAAGAGGTCTATTCGAGAGAGCACATAACAGAACATACCATGAACAATGGCTAAAGCATTGTGGCCATCACAACTCAAGCTCCGAAAGACTCGAGTCCTACTTATTTTTGTTTCCAATGACAAGATCCTCAAATCCCCAAGTAATCTTACAAACTTCTTCAACGTACTAAACAAAAATCTATTTACCATATCTTTACAATTGGTCCAACCTTCCAATCAATCTTTGTTATATTACAAATGTGTTCCATTAATGTTCTTCACTAATGAATGTTTGCTCAAAACTTCAACAAAGTGGTTCAGCCTTCTTTCTCATGCTACAAAATCATGCAACAGATGGGAGGGGCCAAAACTGTGCTGTCGGTTTCCGGGTTCCAGGCAGTCAAACTCTGCCGTCTGAGGCTCAACAGAAGAGGCGGCCGCCTCGTATACTTCACCCCCTCTCATGGTCCCAAAACTCGAATGATCCTCCATAGACATGTGTAGGCTACCATCTTCACATTGCTGCAATCCCAAAGTGAGTGATACATGATTTCCATTTCCATTTCCATTTCCAAACCTTCCAAACTCTGATATGTGGTATGCAGCAGGAACAACCATGGTATTAGGGAAAAGATTATAGTCATCCATAGTAGGCCTTTGGTCCCCCCCTCCTGGTTTCCCTACCCCATATTCAGTTTCAGTTTCTCCATCGCAATCGGTACTAGGTCCCGACATTTCAACATCATGAACATGATCAGATTTTGACTCAAAGAATTGCCCGGTTGTTGCTGCGGAAGATGCACTTTGGTGTAAATCGTCCCCTCCATCCTCAGAGGCCTTTGCATCATCGCCTTTTGTAGCTTTGGGTGTGGTTTCTGATGAAAAATTAGAGTCCATTTCAGCATCACCAATCTCTTCTTTATACATTTCTTCAACCATAGGCTTCCAAAGACGCACTCGTGCATTTATAAACCAGTTTGAGACCTGTGCCATACCGTAGATGCATAAACAAGTTATACTTGGAGAACAAAGTACAAAGCATACAAGGCAGATGCCAAATGCTGTCAAGAACAATCAACCTTCATCAAACCTAATGATAAAAGGGGCATCTGTACTTCACCAACTAAGGACTCTCAATGTTTCAAAAAGTCCCAATCTACATAAACTTTTTATCTGGTTCGACACATTTTTTCATATAATTCAATGATTCATGGCTGATTTTCATAAAGAGAAATCCTAACCACACAAGAAATGGATGAACTAGACAGAAATACTTCATCGCAACTCAGATGCTTTAATCCTTCATTCATATTCTGTCTCAATATCTTTTTCATGTCCATATTGCAAGTTTACAGCTCGAATGTTTTCCTAGCCCTCCCCTCCCATGAATCTCTCAAAAGTAAACATAGCTCATCTGCTCTCACAATCACAGACCACACTGTTGTTCCCCTAGATGACTGCCAAAGTGAAATTGTCCTCCAAAGGTAATAAGTAATCACTTAACAGGAATAACTTTTTCCTGAACAATTTCAAACTAAATGCTTTCCACTTTGTTACGGAAAGTCTAGCTATCGCCAACATGGTTGATTTTAGCAAATTTTCACCATAATATCTACATTAATCCCTGATACCATTTCAAAAAAATAGTTCCCAACCTAGATTATCAACATGAGTGATGAAGGAACAAACTTCAGCTCAACCAAAAGAATAATGTTGTATCATGTATGCCCCTAAGCATGAGTCTTATCTTGCACATTACAATACAATATAATAGTTTTTTTTACCTGACTTCTTGTCAAACCTGTTTGCCTTGCTAAAATGATCTTATCAGAATCTTTCGGGTAGCTGGACAGCAGGAAATTTATGAAAAAAAAATCAGTTGAAGTGCTCAAACATAATGAAAAGTGCAACGGAGGAAAAAAATCAAAAGAATGAATAGGTTTGCAGGGGAGACTTACGGATGGAGAAAATGCTCAAAAAGCCAAGCACGCAGAATTGAGACAGAGCTTTCGGGCAGCCCCCTCTGTGGCCTCCACGCGTGTTGTTGCATCATACCAAACTGCTGAAGGGCTCTCTGTTGTCTGATCTGCTGGTCCACATAACGAAGGCGAGATATTCCAACCTCTTTACTACTTGTTGAACCATCTTGTTCCCTGAGGCTTCTCCTTGTTACTCGAATCTGACCATCTATTGCATCACGCAAGCAACGAAAGTGACGTGAAATTGTTTGGAGGGCAAGTGCTGTGTAGGGTTTAGCTGCCCCAAATCCTGCTATTGCATCAAATGAAGAAACAATGGTCTGCATTTGGTGATAATACTGTTTGTACCTCCTATCAACCTGTGACAATAGAATGTTAATTATCAAATCTAGGAAGATATAGACCATGGGGATGTGGTAGACGGTTACACTGAGACATGCTCATCTTGATGCAATGGTTTACACTATTAAACGAATAGGCGTACAGCTCTGAATTCTTTCCACTTTCTTGCAGTTCACAATTTTCAGATTACTGGCTTTTTATTTGCCCTGGTAAGTTCCAAGAACCCAAAAAGGTAGCGATATGTTTTCGATCTTCCTTTATTAGTGCACATGTGTGTGTAGTTTTTTGAGGGGGTAAATAAATCTAAGACATTTTTGAGAATTTGGGAGGAAATGAACAATGCTTTTGATGAAGTCAAAAACCACATAATTTAGATAAACAGATAAACACCATCATGAATCCACTTTGTTGCATCCATTATGTTGTTCCCATACAAGGAAGAAACCCCCAGAATTTGTAGGCAAATCACTGGAACTTAAGCTTTGCAATTTCATGTCACATTATCACATCAAACTTGTTAGGCATAGCAGGTCCTTCAATTTTGTCTTCCTTTATAGGACCTTCTTTGAGAAATCATGATGCATGCAAATATAAATCTCATCTTTTGTATATGTTCCAGTTAGCAGTACCACACCGAAAAATGCAGAAAAAATCTCATAATCTTCAATTACATACAATAAAAACATGAAATCTTCAAGTGAAAATGAATGAATTTGGGGGTGGAGGGGGGTTCAAAACACAAAGAAGCAATTTAGCCAAAATCAGCAAGCACTGAAAGGTTTGGAGGTAGGTGCAGAGATTACAAAATAATTGACTATTAAGACCAGAGACATCATTTTTTTTTTTTTCTTTCGGGGGTGGGGGAGGGGGAGGGGCTTGAACCCTTGACCTCAAGAGGGTAAAGCTTTCATAAAACAAGTAGTACCATTAGACCAAAAGCCCGTTGATAAAGACTTTAAAACCTAGCAAACCAAACACTTAAGAGGGTATTGGTAATGGTCTCACCTCATCCAGCATAGACAAAAGCTCGGTCATCTTGTTTTGTAGATCCTGTTTTTCAGCAGCTGAAAGCTCACTTGGTGAGTCGCTCAACGACTCTCGTGGGTTTGAAGACTCTCCATTTGCGGGAGGCACTGAGCTATCATCTTTTGATCCGCCATCAACTTCTTTAGAATCCTTCACCAACTCCTTCTTGGAATCATGCCGCTTCAGAGCTTTCCGGACATTCACAACTTCATCAAGCAATTGCTGTGCTGCCTTTAGGTACTTGAAATTCGGAATGGTTCTTGTAGTTGGCATTCCAAATGAAGAAATATCTGCTTTCATTGAATCCGGACTGCTCGCTAGAAAAGCATGTGGAATGTTTCCAGTATTGCTTGATTGTGTATTTTGAGAGTTCTCATGTCTAAAAGACACATTCCTCCCACAACCCTCGCCGGATGGATTAGGACTCAAGAATGAAGAAAAACCAGGATTATTACTCCTGTACTGCATAGAAGACATTTGAATTCCAGATGGAATATGAGTACTGAGGCTGAGGGATAATCCTTGAGAGTTTTGTCTGCTTTGAAGTGTGTCCATGGCACCATCCATAGGGTGCATCAGTAGCATTTCACTCCTACCATCCCTCCATGTACTGAAATCATGTTCCCCAGTTCGAGACCCCCCGAGATTTGCCATAATTCCTTGTTGTGATGAGTTGGAATCCGAAACTCCCATAGCCATAACATCAATCTGCTGGGAATTCCCTACCAATGTATCCGAATATGAGGCAGCAGAAGATGAGTAGTTCATATACATCATCATATTCCCAGGAAGAACCGATGGTTCAGTATGAGAGCTGGACAGAGGTTGGCTCATATAGAGCATTGGTGCAACATCTCTTTGATTGTTTGAACTGGGGAAATAAGTGGCCATCTCTTTGTCAATTCCCAAACTATGATACTGAGGAATTTGATTCGATTACCTAGTTACTCTGTGAACTGAAAATGGCCATGTATACATTAACAAAATTAGTTAAATAATGTCTGTGATTAGGCCCGAAGAGAGACCACATTACTTTTAATAATTCAAGTTAAACAAATCAAACAATTGTAATCTAACATTGTTTTTGTGTTATGTTACACACGAAATCTGTCGTTACAGGCCAATGTAAGAATTATCAGTTGATGCCGATTCTAAGACCGAAAATAGAAAAAAGTGTTATTCAATTATAAAATCTTTCAACTGGTTCTTAAAAGTGCCTAAAAATGCTCAGGAACATGGACACAAATAATAATTTTATGATTGGATTCTATGAACAGGAAATTCGATATTTCTAATCACCATTTATCAAACAGAATTAGAAAAACAATACTACACCATGGATTTGCATTAACATAAACAGGTTCAAACGAAACAAATTCAAACAGTCACAAATAAATAATGTTAGCAAAATGGAACCTTTGACTACTCTAAGAGCCCTGAAAACAGAATCAGAAGAAAACCCCAGAAATACATAGAAAAATCACATAATAAAGAGCTAATCAAACTGTCAAAACCAAGAAAAACATAATTTTTCTGGATGTCCACCAAGAAGAAAAAGGAGAAAAAAAAGGGGAAAAGGAGAGAGGAAAAAGAAGTGAGAGAAAGATCCATAATCCACAATAGATATTCAAGAAGAATTAGCAGAAGTTGATCATCAAGTCCACAGACCTTGAGAGAAGAAGAGAGAGATGAAAGTAATTTATTTGTCGTAAGCAGCTATAAGAAGATAATGAAAACAAAGTCAGCCGTAAAAACAATAAAATATTGAAGTACCTGAAAACCGATAACAGTTGTTTGTTTTATGGGGAACACAAAAGCTCCGATCGCCGGAAAGATCATCCTTGACGGAACCATACCGATCCCGCGACTCAAACAAGAACCCTTTTGACCTCTCTCTCTCTCATACGCATTCACAAGCATCAACAACTCGAAAAACAGAAAGAAAGAAAGAAATCAGAAACTGAACTTTAGTATATTGAAGTTCAAAGTACGAAAATCATCACCCAAAGACTCTTTTCCTATCATATATTTTCTTTTTCCATCATTCCATCCATATTTCTCTGCGCACGTGAGAATTGCATACAGTCTCTCTCTCTCTCTCTCTCTTCTTTTGTACTCTCTCTATATCTACATGAAAACACCTCAAAGGTTTCTTTATCTATGAACCTCAAATTCTTCCCTAAAAGAAATCATAACTTCCCCTTTCTGTCTTAAATTCCCTATTAATGGTATCGCTTTCTGGCTTTGCTTAGCTTTGCTTTCTTTCTCTCTCTACCCCCTAGTTGTTGGTGCTGTTGCTTGACTTGGCTATTCCTGTTGATGATGTTTGGTTAAGGAGTGCAATCTCTAACTACCAGTTGGTAGACCTAAGCCTCCCTTAAACCTCCTCTCTCTCTCTCTCTCCTCAACCTGTGGATGTCTCCCTCATCTCAAGCATGGATGGAAGGTCTGAGTTGCTGCATTACCCACCATATCTGCATTTTTTAATGGTTAGTTTATTAAAAAGTTATCCATATTCAAATTTTTATTTCCACCGATTATAAGAGGTGCACCACTCTAAGGTGCCCAAATCATTATCTTTTTTGTCATTTTGTTGCATTTAATTTTGGGTTTTTGCAACGGAGCCCTTGTACTTTTGTGTAATGCTGTTTTTGCGACTACACTTCTGTATTTTCTATATGTGCCTCATTGTCAGTTAATGGCATATGGTCCATATTTGTGTTTTTCTTTTCAATGATAAGCATACATCCTTCAGACTGGCACTGCCAACCGACTTGAATTGCCCAAGTCTGTCAAAAAAGTTTTAAATCTACCAATGTACGGGCTGATAATCCAATTAAGCTATTCGAGTTCGGTTTTAATTTGACTTGCTTTAGACTCATTTAAATTCGATTTATTTTTTAAAAAGTTAAATTTAGATAATTTTTTAGACTCGTTTAAAAAATGAGCTTGATAAACTCGACTTGTTTATATGTCAATACTTGAAATCGACTCGAATTCGACTCGTTTTGAGTTCATTCAGATTCAGTTCATTTTGAACAATTTTTTAAGATCATTTAAAAAACACAAGCTCAAAAGATTCGGGTCGAACTAGTTCAATTATCAACCCTAAATGTGATTATGATTCTTTTCATGGTATTTTTCATCGCTCTAATATCAATATTAAAGGCATATGTCCATTAAAAGCGGCAAAGTGGGTAGGTGTAAATAGTCCATTAAAGAATCCAAGATGATAGTTCAAACAATTTATATCTTTGAGATTATTATCTTGAGGGTTAATTTTAAGAGACATTTTATTTGTTTTAATACTGCGATTCATATGTGATTTCAAACAACTTCAATTACATTACAATCACGAGTATAAAGTATGTGTAATTGAAATCCATCCTAATTTATTATGATGGCACAAAAGAAGATACCTTTTTTTCACCTATGGTAAAAAAGATCAATCAAGGGTCGTTGTCTTTTTTATGGTTCAAAGTGTAAACAGACTCAGCTTGCGACCAGTGGACCCCCTAAAGCTAAGTTGGGGAATTTTGGATGATGATGGTTCAAATGATTCGTAATGTAGGGTAAGGCCTTTGCAGCATTGATGCTGAAATTCAAGTACAACTGCAATTTGATAATGAAGAATACACTACTCTTGAGTTTTCTCATCTCGCCTCCTTTTTCGTATTTGTCCTTTTGAGAAAGTCTACAATATTGTCCGTGGTATCGTATCAAAAATTATAATTTTTTAAATATCAAATTTATAACTCATAATAAATAAATTACAATTGTTTAGATAAAATTTATGATCAATCGTGTGTCTCATTTCAAAGGTATAACTTTACAATAAATAGTTATAACTTTTGATATGGTAGGATTTTTTTTTTAGAAAGTTATAAACCATGATTCTGACCAAGCCAATAACAAGACCATAAAACTATTGTTACTTGTTTAGGAGGCTTGCAACTGGTACAAATCATAAGTTTGAAAAATGAAATGAAAAAATCTGAGTTAAAAAAACTCTTGAAACCATTTAAAATGTTTTTGAAAAAGTCGATTTTTCTTTAAAAATTCTTAGATAAGTCATTTTTTTTTTAGTTTTTCTTTTGTGCTGATAAAAGTTATTTTGCCTAAAAATCTATTGAATAAGTCGCCTAACAAATTTTGGTCCAAACGAGACGAAATTTTTATAATCAATCAAAAAATTATAGTGAATCAAGTTAATAAACGAAATAAAATTTTTATTCAAGAGGGGTAAGAGCAAAATAATGTTAGGCTAATGGAACTCAATAATTCATACCCTGGGGAGTGGGACTGAGATTGAAGAGAAGAAAAGCAAAACTGAGGCTGCCAGAAAGCAGAGCAGCAAAACCTTTTGCATATATCTAGGGCCGGGCCTGAGAGAGATAGAGAGACTGACTGAGACAGTGGGGAAGCAAGAACGAACAACAGAGTAACGTCGGGAATCCCTATGTTTACTTTCCAAAAAAGAAAACATAGAGATTCGCGAAAAGCAAAATCTAAGGTTACATTAGGCAACTGCTTTCATTGGCTGGAGCTGTAAACACATGGACATCACCGACATGGGAGAGAAGACAACGGCACGATTTTTGTGGCCTTTTCTTTTCTTTAACTTTTGGGTCATATATAATTTTTGGGCTGGAAAATCGCCAATAATTTGAACTTTAAAAATTATTTATTATTTATTATAAATAATTTATATCAAAAAAATTTAGATACCATAATCTTCCCCCACCAACACAAACACGTGTGTTCCGTTTGGTATAATAAAAAATTAAAAAATTTGAGGAATAAATAAAATATCATGTTTGATAAAAGAAAAAAGAAGATGAAAAAAGATGAATTAACTTTTCTTCCAACTCACTAAAATCAATCTCTTCAAAATCGAAAGAAAAGTGGATGAAAAATTAATTGTTTGTATTAAAATGTATCTCATTTGTTTATATATATTATGTGTACATTAATTTCATATAAAAAATATAATAAAAAATATGTACATATATATATATTTTTTAAAAATTAAAATTAAAATTAAAAAAAAATATTTTTTTCATCGTAATTAGGAGTGAAAATTTTTGACTCAACATGATGACATAACTTGAACTCGATACAAATTTTATGACACGAACTTGATTATAACCCGACACGAACTTGAAAATGACCTAACACGCGAACAAGAAATATAAAAGACTCATAATTTTATGACTCAACACGAATTTGACACGACACGACTTGATTGTCAACTCTAATCTTAGGCATCACAAAAAAAAATTAGTCATTTTTATTTTCCATCTATCCAACCAAAAAAAAAAAAAAAAAGTGTATCATTCCTATTTTATATCCTTAAAGTATAAAAAATATATCTCTCATATTTTCTATCTTATATACTTTTCATCCTTCCTACGAAACGGAGCAATAATCATAAGAAGGGTCCACAATCAAAGTAAGGGCAACACCAAGCCGATTGTATTACTAATCAATATAAACTAATTAAACAAATAAAATGAACTTCAACATTTTCAGATAAAACAATTATTATATATAAAGAATAATTTATTTAATTTTGTGTAATTCACTTTTACTTTCGCTTTTTTATCTAATAAAAACTTAAAATAAATTAATATACCTAAATACAATCACCATATTCAATATAAAAAGTAAGGAGTGTCCAAATACAAAAGTTTTTTTTTTGGGGGGGCGTAAGTAGAAATCAAAAAGTTTATTAAAAACTTAAGCAACTGTTTACACCAAACTTTGTTATATAAAATCTTATCACCGTCAGACTATCCTCTTAACCTACACAATACCAAATTTTCATAAATACAGTTCCTTCTAGCATCTATACATAAACATTGATAATCGAGTCAAATTACTTATACTTGGCTCGGGTTTAATTTACTTTGAGCTTAGTTCGGGCTCGATTTATTTTTTAAATTAGTTGAGTTTAAACAATTTTTTAGAATCGTTTAAAAAAACGAGTTTCATATATTCGGCTCGAGCTCATAAAGTTCGATTCTATTATCAATCTTATCTATCTATATCATTATGTTATTTTGTTATTTAATAAAATATGTGTATGTCCTTCGCTTGTTCAACTAAATGAAAGATATTAATAAAAGTATCAAATCGAATTGCCAACTGTAATCATTTAAATTAGCATAGTTGGTAATCTAAATGCTAGTATTAAACTAATAATTCCAACAAAACTTAGGCAGCTGACAAGCAGGATACAACCAAAATGATATGACACTTGGCAATATATTCATATTTAAAATTATTTAAATTTGAAAAAATATCAGCCACACTCCTAATTTGTCATATTTTCAAGGATACCTTCTCTATTTCTGAAACTTCACTAACACTCTTTATCAGCCTGTGTCAAGTGCCGTTGATAATGAAAATATATATTTTACCTTTATATCCCTTTGTTTGAGATTAATTTACAAGCATTTCTAATCGTTAGATATATCTAATAGATAAAAATAAATTCTACAATTTAAGGAAATTAATATTTTATTATTTTTTCAATCGAATATGCAAGAATTAAGGTAGTGTACATATATTGATATTTGTGGTTTAAATATGCAAAAATCCTCCATATTAATTTGTGGTTTAATACAATTTTTATTTTAGACATTATTCATATACGATAGTATACACATATTGATATTTTTTAAGATTATGTATTTTGAACAAATTTTATCATTTTTCTTCAAAATAATAGATAAAAATTAATTTCAAATTATATAATTCAAGAAAAAAAAAAGAAGAATAAAAAATTGTTAATTGATATAGACATTGTTGCTAGTGTATAAATGTGTGGGATTAAACTTCAAAATAAAAAACTTCAAAAAAGAATAAGTATGAAAGAGAAAAAAATAAAAATACAAAGTAAACCATACTTAAAAAAAATTAAGAATAAAAATATTTGAAAATAATATTAATTGAACCTAAGATTTTTGACAAAGTCATTATAGGGATTAAATTAAAACTTGTCAAAAACGGAGGGTGAAGACAAAGTCAAGCAAAATGTTGGGGGTAACAACTATAATTAAGCTTAATAACAGCATTGTAACACGTGGCCTTTTTTTGGTTGTGCACTCACTTTTAAAGTAGTTTCCCTTCAATTATCAAGCACTGGCGTGGAATGTGGTCCCCACCTTAGCGCTAGAGTCAAACCTACACACATAAGCAACTAAATTGATGAGGAGCATATATGCTCTCATAAATGGAGATTGGTCCCACTCGTTGGTGATGTAGCGATGGGGCCCTCCTGGCATAGGATAACGCTTGCTGGGTCCCACCAGTGGCCCAAAGTCTAGAAAGCTTTTTGTCCTACTTGAGCTATTTTTGTTAGCTACGTCAGGATTATAATTATAGTTCATTTAAGGATTGAGTGGGTCATAACCACGATCAATAATTGAGTTGTGTTTTGTAAGTTTAAATTGAGCTTATTGAACTTATTTGTGTTAAAATTGTTCTAATTCGATATATTTAAAAAA